TTTACATTGTTGGAATGTCCATGGTTCGAACCCTAGCATTATCAATTTTTTTAAATTATTTTTCTTTAAAATACTGCTGGTCATATATGTGCTTTGTGACCATTAATCTTTCCTTTTTTGTAAATATAAAATCTTTTTGTTGTATGTTTTTGAATGGTACACATCTTTTCACATTTAGAATTATTATACCATTTAAGCATTACAGTGTATTTTCTATGTAAAGCGCATACACATACAGTTTTCAAGTTTCAATTAGGTTATATCGTCTACACATTTTCCACATAGCCTTAATTGTTTCATATTACCTTTCTATTCCTGTACTTTTTTTGTCCCCAATCTTATAGCACTTTACAATTTTGGATACTCGTTGCTTTTTAACATTCAGCTCTGTGCGCTTAGTTCTACCCACCCACTTCTTTTTGGTCTAATATGTTATTGGTGAACAAGTACTAATTATAATTGTTATTATTATCTGTTATGCAATTGTTAATAATAAGAATAAATAATTGTTTATGTATATAAACAATTATTTATGTATATAATAATTGAATAAAATATTTCACTAATAGCATAGTAAGCAGTAGTCACCAGCAACATAAACTAAAAGAGAGGGGTTGGGTTGAAAAGCAAAAAAAAATTAAAACGTGGTATGATTCAAAGCAAGAAAATTCCGTATATGAAGTAAACACCTCATCCAAATAAGCTAAACATGTGTATTCTTTTAAACAAATTTAAATATATAACAAAAAAAAAACTACACATGAAAGTATATGCATGCATTACATAAATGTATTCATTAGGGGCAATATATACTTGTTACATTAAAATTTTACAAATATATTTTACTAACAGACAGCAATTTATATTTTTGCTTTCCCCTAAAAAAAAAAAAAAAAAAAAAAAAAATATATATATATATATATATATATATATATATATATATATATATATATATATATATATATATATATATATATATATATATATATATATAGGAAAATCATTCTTTTTAATATCGACTTAAAAATGTTTTTTTTTAATTGCTTTGCTTTATTTAAATTTGTTGCTGAAAATAACAACCACCATAAGGAAACTAAAATATACACAAACTATTCAAATTTTTTTTTTTTTTAATTTTTTTTTTAACTTGAATTTATTTTAATTTCCTATTTTGTTAATTATGCTTTCTTTGCTTTTGAAACTTAGTTTTTCCGAAACGCTTAACATAATAAAATTAGCAAACGGCTGTAATCAAGTTGTCTAAAATAAAATACTCATGCATGGACATACAAGACGAAAAATCGCACATGTTTCCTGGGAAGGCTTAAGCTATGTATATGTGTGCAAGTATGTCTGTGGGTCTATATACAAGTGTAAGCAGGAACGGCAGATAATTAGCCATGCTCACCTCCCCTGCCTAAGATGGTTTACACAAACTAGATAAAGCTCGTGGAAAATAGAATCATTTAAATTTTTAAACACCAAAATTTATTAATCTTTAATTTTAATATATCACTTTGCTAAGTATTTTGTAATTACACAATAGTTAAAAAAAAAAGCAAAAAAATGTTTATTCATTCATAAATTTTATTGAGCATCTTAAAAGTAAAAAAGTTCATTATTGAAGATTTTTTTTTTATGCTTTAACTTTTTTTATGTTTTGATAAGTTCAAATAACAAGCATTAGAATTTCATTAAAAACCTTATTAAAAACTTAAAAAAAAACAACAACAACAATTATATCTCAATTTAAAAATAATTTTTTAACATGCAATATTTATAGTTTAAATATATACCAAAATAAAGTAAAAAAAATTTGGTCAAATGCTATGTTATTATAACTATTATTTTTTTAATCATAGTCATTATGTGTTTATTTAATGTTGGTAATTTTGGTATTTGTAAACAACATTAAAATGAAACACCAACTATTTCAGAAATATATTGAATTATTAATTAAAAATGAAAGTGGAAATTATGTGCAGAAACTGAAGCTAACTTGTAATAGAGATCAACATTTTGTTGTCTCTCTTCTTGTAAGTGTTTTTGTTATTTGATTAGCCTTGTATGGATCAATTTTGAAATATTGGAGGTACAAACTCAACTTCAATAAATCTTGGAGAGCATCACACATCAATCATTCAAAACTCATTAGATATAACTTATTAACTTTGAATCATTATTTATTTTAAATCTAGCTGAAAATTTTAGTAATTCCGCACATAAATATGATTAAACAAAAATGAAAAACTAAACATTTTCTGCTATTTTAAGGGAAAGCATGATACGCAACATAATTTAATCTAAAGCTTATCAAAAAAATTGAATCTATTGATACCTGAGATATCTCTATAGTATCACCTACTGCCATTTAATAATTCTAGTTTATGATTAGCACAATGCCACACACTATAACAGATTTTACAGTGAGATTTTATAGTGAGTAATTTGACAACATGTTTTTGCATGTAAACATCACTTCTGCACCATTACATGCTACAAAAACTAAAGAATTCTTTAAGAATTCTGTCATCCTTTAAGAATGAAAACATTCAGGTTAAACATTAGATAAAACTCCTTTAGCCATAACACTTTCAAGTTTTACTAAAATAAAGTGATTTTTGTTATTGATTCAAAGCTATTAAAAGCACTGATTTTCTTTTGCAACTTTATATAAAGTTCAAAAATAAAAACTGTTAAAGACTTTAAAATTATTTGCAGCCATCTTTTTTACATAGAAAGCAAAACCATTTTGAAAAAAAATATGTTGAAATGAATCATGACAATGCATTAGGCACAGTGCATTTCATATGAGCGAAAAGTTTAACAAAAAAAAAATTGTTTAGTAATCTTCAAAAAATCTATAGATAAATTTAAGCAATATTTTAATGAAGTAATTAATGCTTATTTTAAGGGTATTTTAATGAAGTAGTTTACATTTTATAAACACAACACTGCTGTTACAAAACTTTAAACTACAAATAATTAAAATATGCTCATTATTTACAAATATAATAAGTTTTGATAAAATAATAAAGATTGAATTTTTATAAGATTAATTATTTTATTGAGAGATTGCAATAGTTAAAATATTCAGCAATAGAATAAAAACTTGTCTATTTCTTTAATACAATTTAAGTGAAGGCTAATGTAAAAAAATTAAAATAAAATTAATCTAAGCAAAATAATCAAGCAAGCATGTGATTATAACTTATATTAGCTCAGTTATTGGAAATACAGAAGCTAGAGGTTATAACAACTTCAAGAAAATTTTTTAAATAAATTACCTTGATTCTTAAAATTCAGTTGTTTGCTTTATAATATAATGATTGATTTTATCGCTTGACAGATGCAACATTTATTAAGAGCATGTATGCTTAAAATAAACTAGCCTATATAAAAATATTTTTCATATGTAACCATGTAATATTCAGGTTAAACCTGATTAATTTTAAATTAGCATAAATTAAAGTTGCTTTAATAACGCAAATGTTAATAACACATTGTGATAATTCAAGTGTATATATTAATCAATTTGTAAAAAAAAAAACTTAATCTTACAAAATAAAAGTGTAAAAAAAAAATGAAATATTGCTCAATTTTTGATCTTTTCAATATCTTAAGTTTTGAGTTTATTACTCACTGAATTTCCTTAAAAATAAAAAAAATTGTTATTTGCTCAACAGTTAACATGGATTCAAGAAATAAAACAAAATCTTTTATTATCATTTAGTTATAGACAAAACTGGTTTTGTCAAATATCGAGATATTAAACTAAAATTTTTATATTTAAAAAAATCGGAAACTTAGTAAACATTTGATATTACTACATAATAAAAATTCTGCATTGATTATAGAGTTGACAATTCAATTAAACTAGAAATGAGATAATTCAGTGAATTTGTAGTTCAAAAAAGTGTACATAAACACGAAAAGAAAATTTAAATTTCGTTAAGCAAATGCAATTAACCATTTAAATATTTAACCATTTTTAAATATTCTTTATTTTTTAAATCTATCCTTTTAACTTGGATTAATTAATTTGAGGGGTATCCAATGTGATAATCGTTTTCTTTTTTTAAGAGCCTTGTAATCAATGCAAATGATTATAAAACAACTAACGTCAGAGCTTCAATTGTATCATGTATTGCATAAATGTTTTCTTCAATAAAGATATGCAATTTTTTGATATTCTCAGCTTCATATATGGTCAATGCTCTCAGTCTTTTTATATTTCTTCTAATAAAATGATAATTAGAAGGGATGGTTTTTTGATTCCCATTTAAACTAAAAATTTTCACAATAACTTGATGCATTACAAAAATAAAACTCAAAATGACAAAAAAAAAATCTTTTTCTTTGCAAGAACCAAACATTTTAAACGGGTTGGATGGATTCTATTTCTAAAAATAGAATCTTTGCAACTTTTAGTTTCAGATAGTACAAATGTAAACACAGGTACTAGAATTAGAATTTGAAAAGTTAAAATAATGGTAAATGATTGCAGTAACTAATATGCTCTCTGGATTGCAATGAGATCCTGTTAAAAAGTATTTAAAATAATAAATGGTTTAACTGCAGGATCAGCATCATTTGGAGGTGAAACAGAAAAATCAATTCAAGTTAATGTGCAACAAATACCAAAAATTAACTTAAAGCACTTATAGGATCAGTTGCACCATTAGTTAATAACTTGGTTTAAAAGCTAAGCAATTATTAAATTTTTTTTGCTTCATGCTTGTCTAATTGTTTAAAAGTGTTTGCAGTAAACTATAATTTAACAAATTATATTTACTAAGAATAAATAATATTAAAAAAAAGATTACGATTGACTTTACATTTCTGAAATTAAATAACTCTCATGATCATATTTCACATAAAAAAGTGTTTTAACTACACTGTCTAGAAAATTATGTTTGGTAAACATTTTTCTTTTAAAAAACTTATGCAAAATATTACTGAACGCTATTTATATATAAACCATAATAAACGCTAACTACCTGTAAACTTTCTGAGAGTCCTAGGTAGTAATTTAAATTGCTGTACATAATTTTTAGAAATAGCTATTAACTAAAAATTTAGAAAATCAGCCAAATTTTAAAATTTTTGCAGTGAATGTGACGTCACTCGAAGTACAACGTCAAGGGCAAATAATATTAACCCTTTGCTGAAGACCGAAATAAATTTGCCGAAATTTTTTTTTTTATTATTGCAAAAATGAGTAAATATAAGTGTTTTAAAATAATTTCAAATAAAAAAAAATGATGTCAGCAATTAAAAAAAAAAATTGGTTGCTATTTGGCATATATATAAAGCAAAAAGCAACTAATTTGAAATATTTTAGTAGAAAAAACACATTTAAGTAGAAATTTATGTGTGCAGTAATCCACATCAGCTATATGTTACCCAATCAATAGTCAGATGTATGGTTATTGTGGGTTTTTTTTCTCCTTATTTGTTATAAAACTCACGAAAACAGTTTTTTTTTTTTGTTATTCAAACAAAGACAAAGATCATATTTAACACAATACACTCTACTATAGCCAAATTTGCAGCTGCGACATTTATTTTTCTTTTCACGGAATTTAGCCCAGTGGGGACATGAACGTAAAATAACGTCTTTTAATCGTCTTATACACGTTTTGGACATCTTATGAACGTCTTTTGAACGTATTGGACGTCTTTTGAACGTTCAAAAGATGTCTATTTTTGGTCCGGTGCCCACTAGAAAACAATCAAATTTTTCATCAATACCAGGTAGAGGAATTGGAATTTTACGTTTAGGAGCTCTATTTTTGGACAACCTACACTGTTTTCTACAATTTTACTCCTGTTTCTTAATGCTGCTGATATGGATGTTGTAAACTGTTAAAAAAAAAAAAAGTTAAGCTGATGACGTCTTGGTATCAATTGCTGATCTTGATATCTTCTGTTAAGCAGCCATCCATTCACTTTAGCAATGTCTAAGCAATCAAAAAAAATTTGATGTACCATTGTAGTTTTTATTGATGTTCGATAGAGGGAAATGTGCATATCTCATAGGTTTACCCTACCCATCATGTAAAACACAACTTTCATTAACTTTATCAATCTCTCCATCCGATTTATCTAACTCAGAGATATCTGATTGCTCTTCATATGGTTCCAATACAATTTGTAGTGTTTCTTCAAGAAAGTATCGAATTTTTAAAAGTTTTTCCATATTTCAAACACTTAAGCAATGGTAAAAGTTACAATATCTAAACTTTAAACTAAAGACTCAAAATTATATGCTAGACTGTGACTGGATATGCATATTCACATTAAATATAACTAGCTTAATAACCAAGTTTACCAAAAAATAAATAAACCTAAGAGAAAAAATCCAAAATGACTAAAACAGCAAAAACTTCCCGCTTTGCACAAATGGCAACCTCTTAATTTTCACTTGATTTTATAGCCTTGAGGCGAAAAAAAATGCCCAAAAATTATTCTAAAAACAACTATATATATACAACTCTGTTAACTTAAATTAAAAAAAATACATCAGTAAACTAAGTGTACCAATATTAATTATTATTATTTTATATAATTATTAACTATATTAACTAAATGTACTAAATATTAATCTTAATAAGGATCCTACTTTTTTATAGCAAATGTGTCACTCAATGGATGAGCTTATTTTAAGCATTTTAAAGAGTTTTGTGATTGAGTAAATAATATTTTTCAAAACAACTATGACCGAACATGATACAAAGCTTCAAAAAATAGAAAAAACCCGATTTTTCTTTTAGCAGTTCTTACTAAAAATTCGTGGTCGCCAAATGGCGACTGTGGACAGTAACGGGTTAAGGGCAAACATTATTTTTACGTTAAATTATTGTGAAGAGATGTATTTTTTTTAACCTATGATAAAATAAGGCAAATAAGACTTCTAATTGTGGAAATAAAATTTTAAAGTTTTCTCATATTATACATAAAGTACTAGTCAAAATTATAGCATAACCTATTGTTAATTAGGATTGTCATGTAAAATTTTTGTATGCATTAATTATATTGTTAAAAAATATTTTATTTTTGTAATCGGTTAACACTAGTCATTTAAAATGTGCACATAAAATTAAATTTTTTTTTTCATTATTGATCTTAAAAATGAACAATTATACATAAAAATGTTGGTCAAAGCACGCTCATATTAATACTAAATATACAAAAAATGTTGGTCAAAGCACGCTCATATTAATACTTAATTTTGACAGTGTGAATGATTAAATGCATTGATGCATTATTGTGTATGATATTTTATTTATCTACTAGCATCTTACACTATCAAAATTACGTCATCACACTGTCAAAATTACGTCATCACACTGTCAAAATTAGGTATCAATATGAAGATGCTTTAAATTTGACTGATTAAAAATATTAACTAATAGTAAGTTATTTAAAATAGCGATACTTGTAATTTTTCAAATTTTTTTTTTAATAATTTTAAAATTAAAAAAAAAATTATGCAAAAGGTTTGCAAAGCAGTGAGCTTTGAGCGGCGACAACTTGTAAAAAACTTAATTCAACAGCAATTCAATATTGCTAAACGTGCAAAAACTTCCAGAAAATTTGTCTATAAGATTGCTGATAAAATTAAATTGAGTTTACCAATGAAAAATCGACTAGGTCAAAGGTCTCGGAGGTGCGCTAATTCTACAAAAGACCGCTATAAAATGAAACTTGCTATAAAAAATCTTACTGATTCAAATAGAAAAAGTTGCTATGGAGTTGAATGGTACAAAAGAAAAAACCATAAGTGCAAAAACAGTTCATCGTCGTTTGTTAGAAAAATTTTTACTCACAGTAACGATGTTGTTAACAAAATAAAGCTCAGAAAAAAAAGAGACTCACTTGGTGTAAAAACTATGTTGATCAGACTCGAAATTAATGGCATCATGTGGTATTTAGCAAAGAATCGCATTTTGAAGTCATAAATATAAAGAATCATAAGTTTGTATATTGTCTTCCTAAAGAAAAAGGTTTATTAATTAATTTTACAACAAAAGCACAAGATGGTGGAACTATTTTTGTATAGCGATGTTTTTCTGCAAATGGAATAGGTTTATTGAAGTTTTACAAAGGTCGTTTTAACGCTTCTTGTTATTTAGAAGTTATTGCTGAATTTCCTGACTATATAGACACTCTTTTTGATTTTGAAGCTGAAGATTGTTATATTATGCAAGACAACGCACCGTATCACAAAGCAAAAAACACTTCGGAATGGTTTGCAACGAAGAATATTTGGCTACTTGAATGGCCACCCACTTCACTAGATACAAATCTGATTGAAAATCTTAGGTCAATTATTGACCAAAAACTCGAAAATTACAATATAAGCAACACAAATGACCGAAAGAATGCAATTCAAGACATTTGGAGCAAGACTTCAATTGATCTTTGCATTAAAATGATAAATTCTGTTTCAGATTGTATTTCTCAATTTGTTTGAGCTAAAAGATCCAACATTTCTTTATATCACATCAAATTCTAACGTTTTTTTTTAATCTAAAATTTGAACTATGTGCTAAAATTTTAACCAGCTTATTTTTCTGTATTATTCCTAAGTGAACTTTAAAACATTTCAACTTTAAAGGTTGTTTTTTTTAAAACATTTCAACTTTAATTGTTTGGAACAAAAAAAATGTATTTTCAATTTTCATTCATTTTTGTAAAAAGTAAAAGGTTATTCTTCAGATAAAAAAAAAATTATAACTTTTCGTTCAACTCTCCAACTAATTTTTATCATTCATTTTTTATTTTACATTGGTGCTATAATTTTGACCAGTACTTATTTTAGAAATGTTTATGATTATTTACGCTTTAAATCTCTGTTCATGTCAGGTTCTAAAAAAATTTGTTTATAAGTGGTTTGGCAAGTAGTAGTATCAATACCAGACTTACACGTGAGTATCATTCTTTTTATTGCTTTGTCGTTCAATATCAAGTGCCTTAGCACAAGTTCTTGAGCTGCACAGATTCTTTGCAAAGTATGAATCTTTTAAGAAGCTGAAGCTGAATAGTTCTCCATTATTATATTTGCTGTATAACATTTTAGTATTGCATTCCTGACATAATTGTAAGCGGGGTAGATGTTATATTCATTCTCCAAGGCTTCGCTTTATTTTTTAATCAATTGATAAGAAGCTCATGTCAGATTGGCATCAATTATTAAAGCCAGTGCTTCGTCAGCTGAACATTTATTTGTTTTATCTGATTTTGAAATATTTAAAACGTTCTTGGCAGCAATAACAATAGATTCATCTCTTAAATTTTTACTAGCAGCAAAAAATATTTCATTAGATGAATGAGATTCAAGTGAGCCAGATACATGCCATTTTTTAATTTTATTAGATTTATCAAACTGGTTTTTGACCACGTCTACTTGCAGTTTGTTTATTGTCTTTTTTTCTGACAATTAAATATTTATTAAGCCAATTCACAAACTTTGTTTTAAGATTTTTAACAGTAAGTTTTGCAGATTTCCTCTTTTTTAATACAAGTAAACAAATCGTAGAACAGCATGCCAAAAATCAACGTCTTTAAATTAAGCATTTTTTACCGTATAAATTTTAATACATCTTCAGTATTATTTTGCATTGAAATACTAAGATTATTCTTTTGGAGAAAACTATGAATGTTTAAGTTCAGTAATACATTGAATATAATTCTTGTTATAAGAATTATTTAAACTATATTTAAATAATTCTTATAACAAATATTTTGTATTTAAAAGTTTAATATTATAATATATATGCCGCGTTGATTACTAATGGTTGTTAGTTACTACAAGTGTTAGTCATTAAAATTTAAAGTAATTAAATTACTGTAAGTGCTAGAAGTTTAATTACTAGCAACTACCAAAAATATTTTGTTGCTATGCTATGCAAAGTAAGGATCCAAAGCCACCAAAAAAAGCAACCTCATAAGAAATGTGAACCTCATTCTAATACATACGTCCAATATTGTGTACTTAGCGCAAATAAAATACTGTTATAACAAACCTTAATGTAAAAAAGGTTGTTGCTATGCAAAATTAAGTACCGTAGCAACTAAATTAAAACATAAAATCTGAACGCGGCTCTAAAGGTGAGTTTCCACTCATCCGTTTTTTCACGGGAACGG